CGGGGCAGTGGGGCAGGGGTTGGGGGGGTTCAAGCTGGTCAGCCAAAGCTCTTTTGTGTAGAAAGTGAGAAACATGCAGCCAGTCAGATGTGAGATTAGATGTGCGCATTAGCAGTGCACACACACAGACACACACACACCTTTTGTCCTATCCCACTGTTGGTCTTAAATCACAACGTCCACCTTTCAGTGATAAGGTCAAATCATTTGCACCGCCTATTAAAATGTACCAGGATAGAGTAGTGAAATTATTTTCTTATCATTGCAGCCATAAAGTTAAAAAGAAGAATTATGAGAATTGCTCATAAAAGATAAATAATAATTGTTTCAAACCTGCTTTAAATAAAACTGTTCCAAAAAAAATGGTAGAAAATTCTGCAAGTGTGCTGTTTTCCCATGAGTGGTTACAAATAATACAGGGTAAGGTTATGTAACCTTTAGAAAAGTTCCATCTCTGCAGAGGTTGAAAAATCACAGTTTGATCTTGGTTTTGTTTTTTGCAAATTGACTTCATTATTGATTTTGTTTTTTGTGAAATATCAATGATTAATTAATCTCTCCTCACATTCTTCCTCACATTGTTTGTAAATATATATTATTTGTGCTTGATATGGGCGTTAAGACTTATGCCTTCTCTTGTGGCGACAGAGCTCAGGGCCCTCTTCTTTTTCTGTTACTGTTTTTTCATTTGGAACACAGTACCTTGTATATTTTCCTGTCCTGGTGTCAGAATGTGTATTTCATCCACAAGGTATTTTGTCAACATTGTGTACTGTGTGGGATGCTCAACACTCTGCTACTCTCACAGACACTTGGAGTCCACGAATGAGAAAGTATGTTGTTTGTGTCTTAGAGGGAGTGTGTGTTTGCATGTGTGTACGTGTCTAAACAAACAGCATCCAGAAAGGACGGTGGTAAATCACTATAAAACTGAAACTCCTCAGTCCTCTCATTGTGAGCACTGGTCATTTATTTAATGCTCAAATATGGTGCTAGGCTGTTGGAGGAGAATACATCAACCGGCACACTGGAGTCCAAACAAAGAGCGGCACACTTCAACAGACAAAGAGTAAAAAGAGAGAGTGCCTGTTTTTTGCACCTTCGGATGGAGTATTGTTTATTCAGGGTGGGTGCAGGGCACCGAGTGGGACAAGGGGAGGCGGGGAGGGATTGAGAGTGAGGGAGGATAGATGGATATAAGCTGTTATTCAATGCACAAACGGGGTGCATGTGTGTATGTGTGTGTGTGTGTGGAGGGGGGGGGCTGATAGTGGAGGGGGTGTTAGAAATCTTTTGTGATGGCTGGGAGTTAATCACTTGAGCGGCACACGCCAGTTCTGTGGGAGCACATGTTCTACACTGGTCCCCTAGGGGGGAGTGGGAGGTCCCAAAATCACACACAAGCTCAGACACACTCACACACCACCAGTGAATTTACATGTCAGTTATAAGGAAAAGCTGGGTACAGGCCAACTAGACAAGCCAGAAGACCCACCCCCTCCATCAGAACAGAACAGACCAGAACTGAACAGTTAACAGACCCCTCTGGCCGTGGTGATAGTTGGAGCTTCACATTCACTGCTGGTTCATTTCAGGCCATAGACACACATGAGGGTAGGGATGTGCACACACAACTGACTGGCTTTCTCCAGGACTGGATGGATGACTCTGTAGAGGCCTTGCTAGAGATGGATGCTTAGTTTGACTTGGCTGTAAGTAAAATCTATTGTTTCATTACTTCAATCCCATGTCTGTCGTGAATGCTAATATCTGAGAGTGATAGTGAAGAGCAGAGTCAGAATTTAGTGCTAGGCATCCAGGCAGACAGCAGAAGAGAGGCCGACACGGTTATGTCTGAGCTTCGCCTTTTACCTTTTAGGTGATAAATTTACTGGCACATCATTAATTATGGTAGCCAACATTTTCAGTAGCTGTTTGCTTGGTAGGAAAAAAGTAAATTAATCAGAAGATTAACTGCCTGACTGTGTGATTCTGTCATGATTACAATCTTTCCTGTCCTGTTTTTACCTCATCGGCTTTTCCTTCTGCTGTAAAACCAAATCCAGTGTTTGTCACAGTCTCTAATTTTTCCTACAATTATTCTCCATCCACTCTGTACATGTCTCATCCCACTAATCATGGTTTACTGGCTGATGAAAAGTGACAGCTCTGATCGTGGGATCATTCAGCATTTTCTTCCAAGAGTGTTTTCATCAAACACATCAGGGAAATGACACTGACGTTTATAAATACCACCATCCAGCCAATAAGTATGGATTAGCCTTGAGCCAAATGCAATGTACACTAAAATGTGACTTATAATGACTTATAGCGCTCCATTGGTCCCAGAGACTGATGCTGTTGTAAAAATATTGTAGAGACTCCAGACCAGGTGCAGTAAGTACTTATAAACACCAAGTCAGGATAAGTAGCTAAGTGTTCTCCCATGGACGAGAAATCATTACTAACAGCTTCTAAGGTCTGGTTGCCTTTAACTGTAGACTTTTTATTAAATAAGTTGATTTTACAATGTTGTTTGATGTAAAATGTCAATAGGCATTTTCCAGAGGGGTTTCTGGTCTCAGTTACCAAGTTCTTGTCTTCTTCAATAGATCATAACAGTTGTGTAAAATAAAATTAATTTTAAAGGAAAACAGATCCAATAGAAAGCTGGCTCGAAGTGACAACGTTGGTAAATGTCACCTGCCACCAGGACTGTGTTTGTTGTATCATGTTCCCCCTCCCCTGTGTGCTGTCCCTGTATGCGCTTTATTGTCTATTTTCCTCTCAATGAGACTGCAATTCATAAACAAGCATCAGGTTGTGTTTGAAAAGCCCTGAAACTGATATGACATAAGCTCATTAATATAATATTAGTTCACAGAATTGATGGAATGAAAAGTTGCCTCATTTTCAAAAGCAGAGCTTGTGTTGCTGATAGCATGAGAATGCAAAGGAGTGAGGATGTGCATAGCTGAGTGGTGTGTCAGGGTACAATCTTAGAGAGGCTCCTGCCAGGAGTTAGCACCACCACAACATTGTTTACCACTTGGCACCACTCTTATGCTCTGTCCAATAGACATCCATCCATCTCAAGTTACTTCTACACCAGTACATCATTTCTGTGGCTTTGTTGAGGAGGAGGGGGTGGGGGGGCACTGATGGCTGCAGAAATGTTCATCATGGTGAAGTACCAGGTGGTATGGACAATGGGTCAAAGGTCCATATATTATTGCTGGTCAAGCCAAAAGTTATAATACAGTTATATTCAATAAAAAATGTGCCTTTATTCAACACAACAAAAATGTAGACTCCTACTGGTGGGAAGTATGTATAACTGTACTGCTTCAAAAGTAACAGTAAAACAGTTCTCACTAGCATGCTACAAGAGCAAGTACTCAGCTCGTGGAGGTATCTGGCCTACGAGCCACCATTTGAGAAAATGTGCTTTAATAAAATAAATATGAACAGCTAGAGCATTAACCCAGTGACATATCCTTGTGAACTGAAAGTAGTAAAGTTAACATAGTTTTTTTCTTTTCTTTTTTTATAACTAAAACTAATCACATTTTTATGAATTCAGTGTCCCTGTTATTTGTCAGTAAGATGCTTGAGTGGAATCACAAAGAGAATATTCTTATTGCACAGTTATTCAGACAGATGCACCAGCCAAGTGTTGAGCAGGCATTAAATAGCCTAATTGCCAGTTTGTTTTAAGGAAGGGCACCCAAAGGGTTATTTGTCAAATTCAACGGCCGAGTCATAAATCTGGGAACACAAGGCCAGGCAGGATGCCAAGACAGACCTATTTCACTCTGCAAATGTGATCACACCTGCTCTGTCTTGTCTGGTCTGTAGAAGCAACAATAAACTTAAACGAGTCTGGGAAAATGTAATTGAGAAACTGCTTTATAGTTTTCCTTATAATAAAAAAACTTTTTAAAGGAACAGTACAGTAAAATAAATAATACAAAATTATCTGTGCTTAATATGTTTTGCTCTGCAGATGAATCCACTAACTGAACTTCTCTGATGCCATGGTTTGGGTCTCCTTCTCAACTCCTTGTAACCTCACCACCCAGACATCAGACCCGTTGAATGTCCACCTTTGCCCGCAGGACCATGGGTAGCGTCAGCAGTGTAATCAACGGCAGCAGCTTGGACACGGACCACTGCAAGGCTTTGGAGTATCAACTCAAAAAGGAGAAGAACCTGCACAGAAGGAGTGGAAGTCGCAGCCTCGATGGGTTACTGAACTGTGGTTTCACTCAAGGGTCCTCGTCGTCCACGTACGCCTCCAAAGGCCTTGCTTACTCTCACTCAGGACAAAGTGAAGATTTTTTTTACATCAAGGTGAGTCTTTTAGGTCAACATTTACTGTGTACTGTAAACAGTAAACAGGCCACAGTATTGTGCAATAGTTTTGGAATGAAAGAAATGTTCGTCCTGTTCTGTTCAAGGTGAGCCATAAACCAAGGCAGGTCTATAACAGGGAAGGAGAAAGATCGATGGAAGATAAAGGCAACAGGGGTGGAGAATCAGATGGTCCGCAGCCCAAGCTGCTGCTCATGTCCGGGAATATCACTCGGACGGTAAGAGAAATTCTCACTCTGCTGCATTAATGTTTACCTAACTAACCCTCCTTTAAATAAAATATTGATGAATTATAAAAATAAATATATATATTTGATTTAAATAATTATTTTGTAATTATTAATTAACATGGATTTTAAGTCATTCTTGTTCAGAATCTGGACTTCAGGACACTGGGTACTAAACTGATAATAAAACAGTTACAGAGCCACCAACCAAACACCTTGACACAGTTACAGTTTTTACTTTTGTAAACTGAAGTCGTTACATTGTGAATTTGCCAAAATGGTTTATGGAAAGGAAACCAGCCCATTGACCAAGCTAACTGATGAACCTAGAGCCCTCCTTAGGGCTGTCTTTTTTTTTACCTTTTAGCTCCATTCTGGCTTCATACTAAGCCTCTGGGAGTACCATAACTAGCATGACTGCAGCAGACTTTGAAAGCTTCAACGTGCACAGCAGGTGGTTTAATAGGTAGCAGGAGTTCCTTATAACCTGCACGGAGCCTCCTCCGTTTATTAATTACCCTCCCACCCCTCAGATTAATGAACTAGGAATGCCTTGATCTTCTTTGGGAAGCCATTTCTTTGCCAAGAATAAGAAAGTTAACAGAAGCTCTTTCAATAGATCTTTATTCCTCAGGGGCAAGAAGGAGTGAAATAAGAGCAAAACTGGAGACCTAAAAGAGAGATGGGAATAAAGGAGCAGAAGAAGAAGAAGAGAGGAAGAAAGAGAGAGAGAAAGTTTGAGGGATGGGAAGCGAGAAGAAATGAGGAAAGGCATCCCAGTCATGAAGTCAGTGAGAAAGAATGCTGAGTTCACAAGCTTTACCTCTTACACTTCAGCAGTAGCTCATATTATTAATATCCCACAGAAAGGCTATTTATCTTCCCTCAGACAGCACATGGGGGAGAGATGTGGGATGCAGAGGGGAGGACAGAGAAGAGGGGAGATGCAGTACCGACGGTGACGTTCTTGGACAGCACAGATGGGGCATGTGGAGTTTAAGTTCATCTCTGAAATGAGTTTTTTCTTTTATGACAGTTGGGTGGATTTTACTTGCAATCACCGCTGTGTATCTTTTAATCCTGCCAGCTTGTAGTCAAGCAATTCTTTATGCTTCAGCAGTTTTGTTTCTAATATGAAAAGAAATTATAGAGGGTGAAAAGAAGTCTATCCCTTTCATTGGTACTGACAACATTTAGCTGCTTTAAAAGCCAGTCCCTGTAATTTTCAAATATTAGAAATGTGCCGTATCTATTGCTTTCTTCCTAACAATGCAAGACAAGTTGTCTCTTGTTTTTTTTATTGTATTGTCATATAATAGAATCCATTAAGTATGAAAACACACAAAAGGAACAACGTCCCTGACTGTGTGTCATTTCACTAACTTATAGACCACTGCTGAGAAATCACTGGCCCGTTCTACTTTCTTCAAGCCTCTGCATCCCCAGAGTACGTCATCCTCAAAGACAGGACACAGCAGCCTGGACCGCATCCTTTGTCCTCTGGAGAAGGACAGGATTTCAGACAATAAAAACAAACAGGACACTTTCTCAGGTCTTAATCAGTATTGAAAAAACCCTCTTGTCATGAAATTCAATTATTCAAGTTAAATGACACATTACACTGGAATACAAAACACTTGACTTTTCTCCTTTTAGGCACTCTATCAGACTCAGGGCGTAACTCGATGTCAAGCCTGCCCTCTCACAGCAACACTGGCAGTCTTGGTGCTTCTACAGGGCCTGTCAATCACTGTGATGGAAGCTCTGCTCCCACTAACAGTCTCAGCAGGACAGCACAAACATCTCTGCCTTTGTGGGTCAAGGGTAGCAACATTAACCTTGACTCTAGCCACAGGACAGTTTTAAACACCGCTGGGTTGGCAACTAAGAGAAACGGGGAAGCTGGCTCCCCACCTTCTGCACAGGAGCCAAGCCCACTCTCAGAAACTGCAGGTGGGATCCGGTCTCCCATTAGTCCAGATGAGTCACTGATTGAGCGTTTGGAACAAAGGCTGCTTGAGAGAGAGACGGAACTGCAGGAGCTGCAGGTAACAAGTGAAACAAGAATGGGCCGTGCTTTTAATTCTCTTCATTAGCAGTAGGACATTTTTAGATTTTTGACCAATTTACGGTGTGTAATTTAAATTAGGTCAGTTTTGAGGAGAAGGAAGCCGATGCCTGCCACCTGTTTGAGAAGAGACAAACCTATTTTGTGGAGGAAATGGAGGGTTTGAAGCAGCGATGCTCCACAAAGCTAAGACAAGTGTCTCAGATGGCTGTGAAAACCCAGCAAGCCCTGCAGCTGCAGGTCAGCACAACCGCTTCTTTTAATTCTGAGCAAGCAGTGAATTTGTCTAGAAAAATCTAAGGGATAATTTGATTTTTAAGGTGCACTGAATGGAATCATTTATATTTTTCCCAGGAAGAAAAGGAAAAGCTTCAGGAGGATTTCTCAAAGTTGTCCCTAGAGAAGGACCTGTTACAGATTAGACTGAGGGCCTACGAGAATGATGGCACACAGTTGGCTCCAACACTTGAAGAAACTCAGTGGGAGGTGAGTCATGAGTCGTGGGTAAAAATAACATACAAAATATGAAAGTGTTGTGCTCCCAAAACATGTGTCATGATTTAAAGAATACGTCTAAAAAATGATGTTTGCGGAAGTTCAAATGTATCCTTGTCATGATGTAGGTGTGCCAGAAGACAGGAGAGATCTCGTTGTTGAAGCAACAGCTGAGAGACAGCCAAGCAGACGTCAACCACAAACTAAACGAGATTGTCAGCCTCAGGGCGTCACTGAAGGAAAACACGGCAAAGATGGAGACGCTGCAGAAACAGAATAAAGACTATGAAGATAAACTGCACACTCGCACTATAGAGGCTGAGGTAAGTCACGAGTCACTGAACACTGTCCAAATAAAGATGAGTGTTTGAATGTTAACACCATGCTGGACTTTAAGGGCTTGTTATCAGACGGACAGCGAAAAGTAATTTAAAACATTTTGTCCAAACCTTAGCTAGATTATTTTATGACAAAAAGTATTTACTACAGTCCATATTCGTATAAATGCAGTTTTGTTTACAACCTAATGTGTTATTCCATGTTGAGGGAGAAAATGTTGATGACCAACAATGCTTTGGTATTTTCTATCACACTTTCGGTCTTGTGGACCCAAAATTTTTTCATCATATTTTCTTTTTAACCAATGAAGTTTTTTTAAGTGTGTATGTTTTTTTGGTTTTTTTGTTTTTTGTTATAAAACAATTATAGCAGTTTTCAGATGTTGCTCACAAGTTTTTTCTTGTGATCGTTTGTACATGGCAGTGGTCCCCTCTCTGGTGTTGAGCCCTTTGAAGGGGTGCAGGACTGTTGTGAGGGGACCGGCAAGCCCAATTTAATTTATATTTATTTACTTATTATCAGTTTTGTTGGGAATGGTGTTTTGAATATGGTTTTATAACAATTGCTGTGAATACATGAATGTGACAGGGCTCAACAAAAGTTCTATCTACAAAGGATAGCGCTAGAGAAAATGTTTGAGAACCACAGGTTGTTTATCACACGTATTTAACTTACTTCAGCCTGGCATAGCTTTTATTAGTAGATTTATACTGTTAGATCACACATTTAGATCTAATCCCTCAATTGTGTTTCCTTTATCAATCAAAACAATGAATTTGTTGCTTTTATATTCAGGTTTCCCAAAATGAACTCCACCGCAAGAAGAATGAGGCAGATTTTCTGAGGGAGAAAGTGGGCAAACTGGAGAGAGACATCCAGGAAATGAAAGAAGATCTAGCCGCGGCCAAAGAGGAGAGGTCGCAACACACACGGAAATGTGAGGCCAATGTCCCGAGTCAGGCCTCAGAGAGATTAATCCAACGTTCAAACTCTCCAGCAATGGGTCAAAAGGAGGAGGAAAACAACAAAGAAACCTCTCCAGAATCACTTCATGAAAGAGTGGAGAAGCTGAAGAAGCAGTTGGAGGAGGAGAAGGACACTCAAGAAAAGCTGGCCAGCAGCTTCGAGAGGGAGAGAGAAACATGGAATAAGGAGAAAGACAGGGTTATCAAGTACCAGAAGCAGCTCCAGATCAACTACCTACAAATGCACAGGAAGAACCAGGACCTGGAGAGGATCCTAAAGGAGCTGACCACTGAACTGGAGAGTCGCACAGAACTGGAGCTTCCATACAGCTCAGGGTTACAGACATATGATGACATCATTGCCACAGAGATTTGATGGGAAGCACTTACATTTTGCTGTTGGACAATTATTTTGATCACATTTTTTGTTTGTTTCTGCTATTTTACTACTGGAGCACATTCGCTGTTAGTGATTATTTAAATAACTGTCTGTTTTACATAGAGTAAAGTTGTAAAATTCCACTTGCTCTGACATGATTTCTCTGTCAATATGTTTTCAAGTAAAATCTAATTTATTTCGAAAAACAACATTTTTCTTATCCTGTCTTTGAAAAAACATATCCCTGATCGTCCACACTCACACCTTTTTATTTGCTATAGAGAATGGACATAGGCTGACTTCTCTGTTTCATGATAAATTTCTGGTGATACAGCAAGACAAAGACTGCAGTTGAGCACCTGTCTCTTCAGGCTCTTCAGTAAATGACAGTGATGTATCATCGACCAGGAGTCGAGGTCTCCAAACCCTAATTAACTTGGCCTTGTGTGTCTCGTTTACTGCGAGCTCTCACACCTTACACAAAGAGCATAGAATCTATTTCAAAACCAGTGGAAGAAAAGAACTCAGGTCAAGTTAACTTTAAATTATTTTAGAAAATCGTAATTTAACTACATTCAGCTGTAATGTACACAATGTACACAGTTTAACAACAACTGGAGTTGAAACATTGAATTAAACCTTTTTTCAGGTTAACTTAAAAGATAGTTTATTTTGTTTGTTTATTTTTGCAAATAAGAATAATTTACACCTACACTTGCAGTGCAATCTCCACATGAAATATGAAAATTATATTCATGTAAAATATGTATTATTTTTATAGATAATTTTTATTGCAGTGCAGTGGAACTTTGGTTGTTGAACCCTTTTTAAACAATTTGGTTTGCATGAACAAAATTTTTAACGAAAATTTGAGTTGTCATACCACAACTCAGTTGCTGAACAAGAGACAGTACTGTGCAAGTAGCAAATGATCAGTGAGTGACTGGGTGTGTGGTGTCTAACTTGCGTTAGCCTATTATCCTGAGATATATACGCTAAGAACTGTTGTCTGCTTTTGCCAGTGTTTCTTGCATTGCACTTCTTCTTCTTTTTCCTTCGGCTTTGTTCCTTTTTTTCAGGGGTTGCCACAGCGAATCATTGATTTCCATCTCTCCCTGTTCTCTGCATCTTCTACTCTGACTCCAACTATCTGCCTGTCCTCCCTCACTGCAAGGGTAGCCTCTAATGACCTCATTCCTGATCCTGTCCATCCTTGTCACTCCTAAAGAGAATCTTAGCATCTTTAACTCTGCCACCTCCAGCTCTGCCTCCTGTCTTCTGCCTATTGCTACTGTCTCTAAACCATACATCATGGCTGGTCTCACCACCGTCCTGTAAACCTTTCCCTTCACCTTAGCTGACACTCTTCTATCACAGATCACTCCTGACACTTTTCTCCAGCTGTTCCACCCTGCCTGTACTCTATTCTTCACCTCTCTTCCACAGTCTCCTCTGCTCTGAACAGTTGATCCTAAGTACCTAAACTCCTGCACCTTCACCACCTCTGCTCCTTGTAACCTCACTATTTCACTGTTCTGTCTTTCGTTTACACACATGTACTCTGTCTTGCTGCGACTGACCTTCATTCCTCTTCTTTCTAGTGCAAACCTCCACCTCTCTAGGTTCTCTTCTAGCTGCTGCCTACTCTCACTACAGATCACAATGTCATCTGCAAACATCATAGTCCATGGGGACTCCTGTCTGACCTCATCTGTCAATCTGTCCATCACCACAGCAAACAAGAAGGGGCTCAGGGCCGATCCTTGATGTAGTCCCACCTCCACCTTGAAGTCTTCTGTCCTCCCAACAGCACACCTCACTACTGTTGTACTATTCTCATACATGCCCTGCACCAAACTAACATCCTTCTCTGCCACTCCTGACTTCCTCATACAAAACCACAATTCCTCCCTTGGCACTTTGTCATATGCCTTTTCTATCATCAACTTTATCCCTCTGTAGTTGTTACAACTCACATCACCCTTCTTATAAATTGGCACCAGAACACTTTTCCTCCACTCATCAGGCATCTTGTCAGTCTCTAAAATTTTGTTAAACAACCCAGTCAGGAAATCTACCGTCACTTCTCCTAAACACTTTCATACTTCCACTGGTATGTCATCAGGACCAACTGACTTTCCGCTCTTCATCCTCTTCAGGGCTTTTCTAACTTCATCCTTTCTAATCTGATCTACCTTCTTCAGCCCTGGGTTTAGGATTTGATTAATCCATTTCACATTGATTCCTATAGGGAAAATTGTTTCAGTTTTCTAACTTTTCAGTTCACAAACAGCCTTCAGGAACAAATTAAGTCAAAAACCGAGGTTCTACTGTAATTATACAGTATGAAGGTCGTCTGAAAATTATTCTTATTTTTCAGTATTATCAGCATTTGGTAAAACCAGAACTGCTGTCCAACAGGGAGTGGAATATTATATTATATTATATTATATTATATTATATTATATTATATTATATTATATTATATTATATTATATTATATTATATTATATATTTTAAAATTAAACGTTTATTACGTAGTCTGAAATGTTTTAATTTTTTGTATCTCAATTACACTATTTCTAGTCATCCTGATATTACAGCAAACATGAATCCCATATTCAATTAAATATTTAGACAAAGAAAAAGCTAAATGAACTTCTGCTGTTTCTGGAAGAACCCAGGAAAGATAGGGACGAAGAGTTTTGTGGTCCAAGAAATCTTGGTAAGGTTTGATCAAATCTGGTCCTGCACCTGTCCAACAGGGTGAATCTGAAAGTACTATTATTTATAATATTTTGGATTCTTCAGAAACTGATTAAGTTCCTCAGTTGAGGAATGAAAAATATTTCGAGCTCCAAGAAGAAGTTAACTAAAGCTTACATTTAAAGTCTTTGGATAACATGATTTGGATATGAATTTAGCAATAAAAATGAATAGTTATATTACATGTTTTATAATAATAATAATAACATTAAAAAAAAAACTGCACTATACCTACACTATATTACCAAAAGTATTGGCTCACCTGCCTTGACTCATACTATGAACTGAAGTGCCATCCCATTCCTAACCCAGAGTTCAATATGATGTCGGTCCACCTTTTGCAGCTATTACAGCTT